CCACACCCATTTCGGCACACCCCTCACACGTTTCGTGGCTCCATAGGGAGCTCCACCGAAGGCCCCAGTGCCCGCGGCCGCATGCGTCCCCCACACCCATTTCGGCACACCCCTCACACGTTTCGTGGCTCCATAGGGAGCTCCACCGAAGGCCCCAGTGCCCGCGGCCGCATGCGTCCCCCACACCCATTTCGGCACACCCCTCACACGTTTCGTGGCTCCATAGGGAGCTCCACCGAAGGCCCCAGTGCCCGCGGCCGCATGCGTCCCCCACACCCATTTCGGCACACCCCTCACACGTTTCGTGGCTCCATAGCGAGCTCCAGGGGCCCCAGTGCCCGCGGCCGCATGCGTCCCCACACCCATTTCGGCACACCCCTCACACGTTTCGTGGCTCCATAGGGAGCTCCACCGAAGGCCCCAGTGCCCGCGGCCGCATGCGTCCCCCACACCCATTTCGGCACACCCCTCACACGTTTCGTGGCTCCATAGGGAGCTCCACCGAAGGCCCCAGTGCCCGCGGCCGCATGCGTCCCCCACACCCATTTCGGCACACCCCTCACACGTTTCGTGGCTCCATAGGGAGCTCCACCGAAGGCCCCAGTGCCCGCGGCCGCATGCGTCCCCCACACCCATTTCGGCACACCCCTCACACGTTTCGTGGCTCCATAGGGAGCTCCACCGAAGGCCCCAGTGCCCGCGGCCGCATGCGTCCCCCACACCCATTTCGGCACACCCCTCACACGTTTCGTGGCTCCATAGGGAGCTCCACCGAAGGCCTCAGTGCCGCCGCCCGCATGCGTCACCCCCACCCATTTCGGCACACCCCCCGCATTTCTCGCACGGCAGGGTCATCACCACGGTGGCGTGCCAGGGGCGCACCATGCGCGAAGGCGACGGGGCGGGGGAACGGCGCTCCGGGGGCGGCCAGACCTCCGGGGCGCGAGCAGTCCGCGGCCAGACCATCTCTCGGTCCTGTGGACTCTCGCCCTGGGCCGTCGGCTGCCCGGCGCGCTGCCCCCTCGGTCGACGTCGCCCAGGCGTGATCCTGGATTGCGGCCGCCACGAGGTAGGGAACGGCAAGAAGGAGGACGACGACTGGTGGCTGGAGCTCTACGCGCTGCTCTCGCGCGCCACGCGCCACGAGGACCTCCTGCTCATGCGGGCGCCGCGCATCGAGTTCTTCCTGGCAGGGCCGCCGCAGGGCTGGCGGAAGCAGCTGGAGCAGTTTGCGGCGCGCACGAAGCGGTGCTGGAGGGAAGCGACGGCCCTCGCCAGGGAGCTCGGCTTCACCGAGTTCATCCGCGAGGCCTGACCTGAGGAGCGTCTCCCCCGAGCCGCGCCTTCTCTCGACTGCCCGACTAATTGTTTGGCCTCGCGCCGCGGACGACCCGCGCGCGTCGCTGGGACCCTCTCGGGGCGACCAGCGCGCGTCGCGGGAACTCCGTGCTGCGGGGGGCCCGGCGCCTCGTTCGCCCGTCGTCGCTCTGCCCAGCGGTCAGAGACTTGCCCGCTATCAGCCAGCCAGTTAGCTAGTCAGCTCTCTCTGCTTCGCGCAGCGGACGACCCGCGCGCGTCGCTGGGGCCCCGCCCGGGGCGACCAGCGCGCGTCGCGGGGACTCCGCGCTGCGCTGCGCCCGCAGCCTTGGATTTTGGAGTGCGCGGGCAAAGAGGAAGGAAAAGAAGAGCCGAAAGCGGGCGCGATCCTCGCAAGAGGCGTGCCGACATGGGCGTCGCGACGTGCGGACGCTGCCGTCGGGGTTCCCGCGGAAGCTGCCTGCGGCGGCCACGCCCAGTGTCACGTGTGTTCGGACCGGCATGCTCGACACTTACACTAGGCGGTTCCATGATCGCACTCATGCAAATATATTCACTCGCGCGCAGACCCATTCATGCTCAGATTCCCTCGCGCTCTGACTCACCCGCGTTCTTTCTCTCGTAATCAGATCTATCGTATTCCTCTGCGTTGTGTACCCCGCCACATTTCGGCACACCCCTCATGCGGTTCGTGGCCCCATAGGGAGCGCCACCGAAGAAGATGCTCACAATTGCGATACTCACAACTGCATATGGTTGGGTCCTTCGCCAGGATAATTTCAAATTCGCCCCCTGTATTTTTGCAGGAAGACCCCGAGAGGCATCCCAACTGACCGTGTTTTTTCTCTTTCAAAGTGGACTCCTATTCGGATATCCCACACATCCCCTTACTGTTGGCCAGTGCCGCGCCTCCTGGCTTCCCGGGGGCCCCCAGACGCCTAAGGACAGCCCAAGGCGACCCCAAGGAGCCCCCAGAACGTAAATAACGGCCCAACACGCTCCCGCGCAGCCCGAGACACCCGTCCAGACGTCCAGAAGGCTTCCAGAACCCGCAGGGGGTCCGGAAGATCCCACACCCCTGAGGGATCGGCTAACAAAACCCGCGAGGCACAAACAAAGAACAGCGCCGAACAGCGCCGAGGAATTGGGAAACAATTGGGATCCCACAGTTTTTTTTCCCAGCCAACCTGTGCTGTTAACAGGATCCTCATTTTGAAGAGACGGTCCCCGCGTTTCCTCCTCCTCCTCCTCCTCCTCCTCCTCCTCCCCTCCTCCTCCTCCCTCCTCCCCTCCTCTCCTCCTTCCTCTCCTCCTCTCACGCTTTGTGGCCCCATAGGGAGGTCCACCTAAGGCCCCAGTGGTGTGTACCACATGCGTTTCCCCTAATTACCCAGTGCAGCGTTTCGTGGCCCCATAGGGAGGTCCACCTAAGGCCCCAGTTGTTTGTACCACGTGCGTCTCCCCCACCCAGTACAGCGTTTCGTGGCCCCATAGGGCCTCCGCCGAAACCGTGGCGCAGTCCGCATGCGTTTCCCTCACCCAGTACAGCGTTTCGTGGCCCCATATGGAGCCCTACCGAAGATCTCCGTGGCGCAGTCCGCATGCGCCCCCCCCGCCCCGTGCAGCGTTTCGTGGCCCCGTCGGGGCCCTTTCCGAAGGATCCCGCGGCGCAGTCCGCATGCGTTCCCCCCACCCAGTACAACGGTTCGTGGCCCCATAGGGGCTCCGCCGAAGGTCCCCGTGGCGCAGTGCGCATGCATTTCCCCCCACCCAGTACAGCGCCTCGTGGCCCCATAGGGAGCTCCGCCGACGGTCCCCGTGGCGCCGTCCGCGTCTCCTCTACCCAGTACAGCGTTTCGTGGCCCCATATGCAGCCCCACCGAAGGTCCCCGTGGCGCAGTCGCCATGCGTCTCCCCCACCCAGTACAGCGCTTCGTGGCCCCATATGGGGTTCCGCCGAAGATCCCCGTGGCGCAGTCCGCGTGCGTTTCCCTCACCCAGTACAGTGTTTCGTGGCGCTCCACCGAAGGTCCCCGTGGCGCAGTCCGCATGCGCCTCCCCCACCCAGTACAGCGCTTCGTGGCCCCATGGGGGCTCCGCCGAAGGCTCCCGTGGCGCAGTCTGCATGCGTCTCCCTCACCCAGTACAGCGTTTCGTGGCCCCATAGGGAGCTCCACCGAAGATCCCCGTGGCGCAGTCCGCATGCGTCTCCCCCACTCAATACAGCGCTTCGTGGCCCCATATGGGGCTCCGCCGAAGTCCCCGCGGCGCAGTCCGCATGCGTCTCCCCCACCCAGTACAACGCTTCGTGGCCCCATGTGGGGCCCTTCCGAAGGTCCCCGTGGCGCAGTCCGCATGCGGTTCCCCCGCCCAGCACAGCGTTTCGTAGCCCCATAGGGAACCCCACTGAAGGTCCCCGTGGCGCAGTCCGCAAGCGTCTTTCCCACCCAGTACACCTCCGTCGGAGGCCGTCGGGGTTCCGCGCCTCGCTCGCCCGTCGTCGCTCTGCCCAGCGGCAAGAGCCTTGCCCGCCATCAGCGAGCCAGCTCGCTCTCTTTGCTCCGCGCAGCGGGCGACCCGCGCGCGTCGCTGGGACCCCTCCGGGGCGACCTGCGCGCGTCGCGGGGACTCCGCGCTGCGCTGCGCCCGCAGCATTGGACTTTTGAGTGCGCGGGCAAAGAGGGAGTAAAAGAAGGGGAGGAAGCGGGCGCGATCCTCGCGGGGGGGCGCGCCGACATTGGCGTCGCGGCGCGCGGGCGATGCGGTCGGGGAGTCCTTGGGAAATTCCTTGCGGCGGCCACGCCCAGCGTCACGAGTACTCAGAGGCAGTCGTTCTCAAACTATTGTCAGTCATATACAATCACACCATGCTTTGTCATACTCGCATTCATGCACGTAGACTCGCTCGCACGCATATTCATTCACAGTCAGACGCACTCGCGCTCAGATTCGCCCGCGTTCAGTATCCCCATGTACTCAGATCAATTGTTTTCGTTCGCGTTGTGTACAACGCCACTCATTTCGGCACACCCCTCGCACGGTTCGTTGCCTCATAGGGATCACCACCGAAAAAGTGAACCACAATTGCGGTACTCACACCAGCATATGATTGGGTCTTTCGTCGGGCTAGTTTTTCCAAGTTTGACCCCTGATCCACTCTTGCACAACAGACTTCAATTCGGACCCCCCTCACTTCCCAAACAAGAACCCAGGAAACCTTTGAGGGCCCCAAATCGTTGAATACCTCAAGGAACTCAATGGTTTCTGCGTTTCCGCACCTCCCCTTCTATACGATTCCGAGGCTTGCGCAAGGCCTCCAAGGGAGCCCCTGGGCGCAAGAAGCGACCAACATGATATTACATGCGTTAGCTTATCAGGCATAGCTAGAACTTGAGCGCGCGCGAGGCGCGCGCGCGATTGTGTGTACATATATATATATATATATATACATAATCTGTGCGCGTGTGTAACTACTCCTGCATACATACATACATACAAACATACATACATACATACGTACACAGACACCTACTTGGGGAAGGACATTGGGGCCCAGAAGCCACGGCCTCGAACCCCCAATCTGGGTCCCCCCCATTCGGGCCTCCGGGGCCGCTTCCTGGCCGATTCCATACCCTCTTTGCCATTATTTGTACTTGTTCAGCAGCGGGCAGCGGGTAACTCAGTATGCTACGTACGCGCGGGCGTGTCAGGTTGCTGGGCCGACTTGCAGGGGAGCTCCGTTTACGCGGACCTTGCCATTTTTTTTCAGCAGCGGGCAGCGGGCTACTCGGTATGCCACTCGCGCACGGCGGGCCGACTGGCAGTCCGCTTGCGGACATCATTTTTTTTTGCTTGCAACGACAGTTTTGCCTTCGAGTTCCCGCTCGAAACCTGTGGTAAGGATTGGTATCCTCAAAGAACCTACGTCGACGGAACGCGAAACTGTTCCAGAGTGAGCCCGGTAGTACTTCTCACCTTCGGCCGACCTTATGTCCCCATGGTATATACCCAATTCTGGGTAATGTTTTTCTCAATTGTCACGCTTTGCTCTGCGATGAGTGCAGGTTGAGCTATTGTGAAGGCCTGCCTTGGGTCGAGCTCCCGAACCCCGCTACCCCAAAGATGGTTTATGGTTTTGTTGTAGCACGCCTTGTTCTGCGATGAGAGCAGGTTGCGTTGTTGCGCTACAGATTTTTCTCCCTGCGATCCCGATGGGCAATATGCGTGACACCGTCTCAGGTGGCTATTCGTGCCGAAGCACGTTGCCAGCGTGGGGCCGATCATGCCGATACATAGTGCCGCCCCAGAGAGAGAGAGAGAGAGAGAGATATAGACATATATATATATATATATATATATATATATAGAGGAAACAAGCAAAATAACACAATTACACCAGAGAAAAAAAACCCAACCAGCGGATGGTTTTCGCTGAGGAGGTCGACCGGGAACCCGGGAGCCCGGGAACCCAGAACCCACCGAAATCGGCCCGGAGCCAACAACCGGGAACCCGGGAACCGGGAACCCGGGAACCCGGGAACCCAGCTTGCGACCAAAATCGGCGGGAAATTTTCGCCAAATGTTCCAACTTCCGCGAGGACCCCTTCAGTGCAAGCACTGATTGGGGAAAAACTCAGGAGCTGATCGTTCGTGTCCTCGCTCCATCGTGCTTTCCCAGGCTCTCCCCGTCGCGCACGGACGTGTCGGGCTGCTGGGCCGACTTGCAGGTTAGCTCCGCCTGCGGACACGGTCGCCACTCGAGACGGCCCTTGGGCCCTTCCAAAAATGCGGGATGGCTTCCAGACTGCCCGAGAGGCTGCCAAGAGCACCCAATAGCGCCCCAAAGGCGCCCCAGAACCGTTCAAGATAACCTCCTGGCAGCACCAGAGGTCTCCAAAACGCCCCGAGAGAGCTTCGAGAGGCCCCTCAAGAGGGCCCCAAGAGGCCCAAATCTTCCGTTTTCAACACGCATTCACCACTTTAGTTTTCGCAGCGTCCAAGACGGCTCAACTGCTCCCTCAAGATCGCCCCAACACGGCTACATAGGCCCCTAACGAGGCATCAAAGCTGCCGAAGAGAGGCTGATGACTAGTGTGGGTGGTTCACTACTTCAACCGAATCGCACCACCCAGTGAATGTTAGTGGTGATGAGGAAGAGGGAGGCGGAAGGAGGAGAAGCAGTTTCTTCAGAACCCATTCAGGTTTTTCAAAGTCTCAGCGCACGGCTCGCATCAGGAAGAGCGAGAGCGCAGGGTACGGGGCAGACAGGGACGCCCGGCTCGGTGACGGCCCCAAGACGCCCTGCATATGTGCTGGCGTACGGGGCGCCCGGGGCCCAGGCCAGAACACCCTCTCGGATTTCCCCCACGACATGTTTGACCCCTTCCAGGGCCTCCCGGAGACCACCAAAACGCGACCAGGGCCGAAGACGCCCAAATAGTGTTTCATGACGGTTCAAGAGGCCCCGAAGACGTCCAAGGCTCCAAGATGGGCCCCGAGATGGCCTCAGGATGTCAAAGCTGTTCCATCCCCTAGGGGAACGGTGAAGTTTTGGCATATTCGTACTTTGGGTCTTTACAGCGTTCAAAACGGCCCAAAAAGTCCCCACGGATCGCCCCAAGACGGCCCAAGAGGCCTCCAAGAGAGCCGCAGGACGGCCCAACAGAGCCCCAGCACGGTCTAAGAGGCGCACAAGACGGCCCAATAGGGCCCCAAGAGGAATCCAAGAGGGGGAGCTCCAACTGACATTTCGAGCCTTCCGCCACAAGTGGGCCCCCGAGGCCGCAGCAGGTGCCCAAGAGGCCCCCAGGGGCCAGGGGCCACAAAAGGTAACTCTAAGAGGCCCCCGCATGGCCCACTTGAAGCCAGAAGAAGCTTCAACACTCGCTCCACGATGCGCTCGAGAAGCATGCCACATGCCAAGATATCCCGAAATATAGGTATCCAAGGATCCTCTGGCCCAAAACTCAGGTACACTAGCGGTATGGGCCGAAGGCGATCGATAAGCAAGAATTTGGTTTGGCGACGGACCCATCCCTATGCAGCCATGCGTAGCGCAGGGCGCGGGCCTCTCTTCATACACTGTGCACCGCGGGGCAATGCGGGCAGATGGCTGGTGCGGAGCACGAGTGCACGCATGTGCTGAATTCCTGAATTTCTTGTAGGGCACGATCCGCTTGAAGGGCGTGCCGAATGATTCGGATACCCTCGCGCGAACGCCCCCCACTACAGTCAACCCGCATAGTATAGTAAGGAAGGGCAACCTTCCCAAGGGTACCCTTGCATCCTTGCCCCTTCGGCCCATGCTTAACGACTTTCACTGGCCAACCTCGTTCGAAAAATGTCAACTTGGCCCTCTAAGACCCTTGCATCCTTACCGCGCATCCGCATGAGACGGGTTGACTGTAAGGCCACAGGTGGACCTCCTCCAGGCACGACCCGTGCGAGGCATGTTCCGCATTGGGCGAGGGTACGCCATGCGAAGCTGCCCAGTGGTGCCATAGGTGGAGCTCCTTCTGGGGCATGGTTCGCGTGACGGGCCTGCCGACATGGGAAGGGGAGCGGTGTGCGAATTTTGTCTTTGGACCTTTAGGTGGCGCTCCTTGTGGGCACGATCCGCGTGATGGGGTGTGCCGCAATGGCCAGAGGGGCGCAGTGCGAGCTTTGCCTATGGGGCCGTAGGTGGAGATCCCTGTGGGCCACGATCCGTGTGCGAGGTGTGCCGAAGTAGACGGGAGGGCAGTGTGCGAACCTTGTGTCCAGGGCCTTCCGTGGATTTTTTTGCGGGCCACGATCCGTGTGAGAGGTGTGCCGGAGTGAGCGGGGCGACGTTATGAAGCTTCATTCTGGTGCCGCACATGCAGCTGTCTTGTATCTGGGGACCTAGGTCGCGCCCCCTGTGGGGCGCGATCCCTGCGCGATCCTTGTGAGGGTTGCGCCGACAAAGGCGGGGCGGGGAAACGCTAGCCAAGCCTGTCTTTGGGGCAGCATGTGGAGCTCCCTGAGGGCACGACCCGTGCGACAATCGATGCCATCATTTTATTCTACAACTAGAACATGCTAGAACCTAAGCGCGCGAAGCGCGCGTGCGTTTCTAGTATGTATTTATTCATATACTATGACATGTTAATGCGTTGTATGGGCTGTGTTATTATATTCATTATTTTATGGCAAAACATCATTCAATCATACAGTAATATATGTTGACGCGTGTGTTCTAATATACCATCTCATATTACATCCCATGTTCTAATCATATCAAACTATAACCTCATACATCGCCTCACACTAGATTGAACTATATTCGATCAACTTATATTATGATATACTTTGTTTTTGTACGTATACCATATCACAGATTGTATGATCGTGTGTTGTATGATGAGGTGTTCGATTAAATCGTGTTAAATTGTACTCTGTTACATATCCTACATTACAGCTTGTTATGCTATATTCTAGTATATTATACTCTATTGTGTTGTTGTATATTATCGCGTATACTATCATCGTGCAGCATGTTGTATCCAATTAAGTTGTGATATAATGCTCAACCGTATTAAGTTATATTCGTATTCGGTTGTGTTGTATTATATTTCTTGCTTCCATATGGAGTTATCTCGTGTTATACAATATCATATTCGCTTGGTCTCATAGTATATGATATGTCACGTACCATGTTTATAGTATAGTGTATTTTATGCGGTACCAATGTATATCATATTGCCTTGGCTTGTACTATTGTATATGATAGCATATTTCGTGATATATATATATATATATATATATGTATGCTCGTACCCCCCTTATGATCTACCTTAAGCGTGTTTTTATTCTAAGACACACCGTGATTCGGTGAAGTAGATCAGAGATCATACATCGCCCACCATTTGACTTAATCCTAGGGGAAAGAACAACATATGCAGTATAGCTTGCGTGCACAACAGATTGGCTATCGCAGATGGCGCAGCGCGGCATTCATCTGCCAGTGCCTTGCTGGCGCGGAATTGTCAAGGAACGCATCATATGGGCCATATGCGACAGCTAGCTGAAGGCGTGCCTGCTGGCTGGAAAAATCACGCGTGAGACGCCCGCGGATCAATCGAGCTCCCGTAGCATTTCACCAGTGCGAGTCCACAAACCCGCACCTTTGTTCCAGTAAGTCCACTGGGCGGAGCGAATGCGGCGCCTCGCGGCCAGGGTGCCCGCCCTGCGCTTGCGCGACTGCAAATGCTTCCGCAGGTGCGCCCGGAAGCGATCGATGATCTGCGTCCTTGACTTGGTGTACGACTCACAGGTTGGCCATTTGTGGCCAACTAGTTCGGAAAACTTTGGATTGAGCCAAAGTGTCTTCCCACGCAAAATCACCTTCTTCTTCATATGGACAACGTTGTCGCGAAGAACATTCGGGATCTTAAGCTTATATGCCCGCGCCCCATCTGTGTGCAGCACGACCTCTCGGTTCTCTAGGTGCCGTTTGGCAATGGGCTTCCAGTCGCGTTTGCGGATAAGGCCAGGCCCAGGAGCGCGCCGCCGCGTCCTGCATGGATCAAGACGAATGAGAATCAAAGTGTTCGGCCTGCCGCGTTCGATTCATCCTCCCCGCTGTTCCCAACTCGCTGGCTTAGCCTGGTCGTCCTCCTCCGTGTCGTCCATCTTGCCTAGGTCCACCTCGTCGGCTTCCACGTCCGCCCACTTGTCTGTCGCGCCGAATTTGATCCGCTTCTCCTTTTTCGTGACGTACTTCATTCTGGCGCTGTCAAGGCTAGTGTAGACATTCCCGATGAGATTGTGGCTGTTACCAGTGATCTGATGGCACTTGCTCTGAGCCGCGTCCCAGGTCGCGCACGTGCAGACAGCCGCCTTGTCCGCGAACGGAGCATATGCGTTCCCATGACCAGGTGAAAACACCGGATGGTCGTGATAGGGCAACGCGAATTTCTGGCATCCTTTCTTCCCGCAGCGGTAGCGCGGACCTCTGTTTGGGGCCTTTTTCAACGGGCCCAAGTGTCCTTCCGCGCGCCAGGGGCAAAACTCGCCGCGCCAATCCCTAAGGCGGCCGCTCGCTGTGAGCCTCTTCGCGAGTCCCACCGGAGAGGCGGTATACACAGTCTTCAGGGAGCATTGAATCGGAATCTCTTCTGGCCGTGATGTGACAGCCTTTTGGCCGTGTCGCACGTAGGGCGCGTGCGGTGTTTTCTCGTTTGCGGCTGGCTTTTTCGCAAGCTTCCTGACCGTGCGCGCCTTCCCGCGCTTGGGCATGCAAGACTGAAAGGCAGCGGGCTTCTTCGCGCGCGGCCGAGAGGAGCCAGCAATCAAATCCAAGACGTCTTTCTCGGCACTGCCGTCGCCGGCCCCGTCTAGGGTAACTTGCAGCAGGCGAGCGTGGCATCGGCCCTCGCCCCAGCGGGTAACCAAGTCGAACGAGGCCTCGTCGCCAATCTGCATCACAACGTCCTGGTGCGAGTCGTAAACAAGCATCTGCTGCGAATCCCCGCGGGCGCGGAGACCAACTGCATGTCCGCGAGTTCCGGGCATTCCAATGTGCAACAGGAAGCAGTGCGCGGAGTCGGCGCAGATCATGCCGCTCAGCTGTAGCTGATGGAAAACCAGAGGGCGGTGCATCTCCTGCAACTCTCGATAAGAGTATGGGCCACGGGCGAATCTTGACTGGCTCGGCTCCCCTGAAACCAAATCCAGATTGGCGAGAGCGCTCACTGCGCGCATACTTTCCCCGCGGGCAACTTGGAGCTTCTGCTGAGACATCTCGCAAGCTGCCGCCAGGAGTGAGGAGAAGTCGTTATGGCGCGGCGGCGGCGGGGGGGGGCGCTTGCACCTCGGGCTTCCTCTTCTTGCTCGGGAGCGGAAGTCTTCCAGGGTATCTCCGCTCCGCTGAGATCTTTCAAATGCAACGATACGCCGTGCTCGTGTTCGACTGCAGACGCGAAGCCCTCGTCGTGCACGTCGAGCCCCAATGGCCTGAAGTAGGTGCCATCGAAGAAAAGATCAATTGGCGCGGCCCCTGCCTCTTCTAATGCCTGTTTCGTACTCATCAAATGCCCGCGATCCAGCTCGTGCAAGAAGATGTGAAGCGAGCTGCGTTCAGGCCGCGCTCTCGCGACATCCTGATGCAGCGTGTCGTGCTCGAGAAGAAATCGAGCGGCATTGGCTACTTCCGTTTGCAGACCATCCAAATGCGGAAACCAGCCAGGCCGCTCCTCTGGATCTGGCGACTGCCGCCCGTTTGGGCTGGTCGCCGAGATGAGCGGCTGCTCGGCGACGCCCGCCCCGACGTCGAAATATCCAGAGACGAATGTTTTCCACCCGCCCCAGTTGCTGACGACGTCGCACAGAAGTGGAAACTCTGACTCAACGCATATCCTCTCGTGCCGCTTCAAGGCCGCAACCAGCAAACTGAAGCATGCAAGCTTGATGTCGAGTTCCAGAGCGCCTCCTGGAATTCCAGCCAAAGCAGCGCGCCGAGCCCCCTTGCTAATCTTCTGCAGAGATGGGCCCTCTGTGAAAAGTCACCCATGCACCTGCTTTACGTATTTGCGAAGAAGGCTCCGCAGGGGGCGCTGCTGGCCGTCTCCAGCGGCTTCTACGGGCGCGGTCATTCGTTTCTCACATAAGCGAACATAACTTTGAATCTGGACCTGCCGCCTGTCGGCCCCCGAGTCGACGCGGGCAGCCAGTGCGACAGCGTCCACGACGTCCGCCACCGAGCAGACAACGGAGAAGCAGATGGGGCGAAGTTCTTGCTCGTTGTCAGAAAAGAAATAATATTCGCCCCTGGGCCGGCCTCCCATTGCCCATCTCTCGCTGGGGGGCGCCGCCGGTGATGGGGCGTTGAAATCTCGGGACAGCTTCGTCGTCGCGTCAGCCATCGCTGGGAATAGTAGCGCGTGGCGCTGATGCTTGCCGAAGAAGTTCACGTCGGCGTCTTCCTGGGCCAAGTAATCGGCCAAAGGCCCGCAGCTTTTTGCGAGAGACACCAATTTCGTCAACGCGGAAGCTCTTGGAACGTCGAGTTTACTGCGTAATTCTTTCGCAACCTTCCAGTCCCCCGCCTGCCTTCCTCTGCCTTTTGATAGCTTGCGCTCCTCCCCGTGCTTCTTCTTGGCTTCTTCCTCCCGCAACTTTCTCAAGCAGTCTGCTAATGTGTCCCAGTCGGAGTCGCCGCCGCCAGACCGCCCGCTTGCGGCGCCAGATGATAAATCCATGACGCATTTGGGCCTGGGCTCGCACTGCTGATTGGTCAGGCGGCGGAACTACCACCGCGTCGACACCTTCATGTGGTCATCGAGATTATCTGGTTCGAGCGTGCTCACAATTGCTTCTGAGTTCCCCAGTTCACCCCAGGTTGGCTGTAGAATTTCTCTGAAGTAAACATGTGCCGCAGCGCGGCATGCCAGTATAGTCTCCAACACATCCGATGCGATTTTCAAGAACCGCCCGCTTTCATGATCTACGTCTTTGCTGTCAGTGACCAGCGTTGCGAGAGCAACAGCCGACGTCATAAATCTACGGTCCACAGACTCCGTTGGAGACTTTCTTCGGGTCGACGGAAAATTGGGCCCAGCTAGCAGGGGGTGGTGCAATAGATGCGGTGCAATGCATTTGTGGTGTTGCAACAGATTTGGGGCGTGCAATGCATTCCGTGGTGCTATGCGTTAATTGCTATACAATGCAATGCAATTCTCTGGTTGCAATACATGTGCTCCACATCAACTGCGCCGCCCCCGTATCGCTGGACCCCCTTCTCCGTCAAACCGATTCCTGGGTGCTGCCTCTTCGCCGCGGACTGCCAGGTCCTGCGCTGCAGCGCCTCGGAGAACTGACATGATGGGGGTGACGTCGTCATAGTTGCAGCTCTGCTGCTTCTTCACCCTGTTGAAACGAACGTCGCTGGAGAAGCCGAAGTTGACCCTGGCGATCGGCTCCTCGCCCGCAATGAAACGTTTGAGCACGTCCACGTTAATCCTGATGTGAGACGAATTCAAGTTCGACTCCTTGATGCACACCCGTTTCTTGCGCAGGCCGAAGTGAGCGCTCTTCCGCCACTCGTTGCCGTCAACGAATATTGAGGGGTCGAGCGTCGCCGAGTTTCGCTTGCCAAATGTGGCGGCTCCAGGATATCAGAAGCGCCCTTGCCGTCGCCGCCTTTCCCGATCGCCGCCATCATGACGGGGGCGTGGATGCCGAAGAAGGCGCAGTGCGTCGCTGCGGACGAGGTGGCGAAGTACCCGTCGTTCTCGTAGAAAAAGGAACCAACGTAATCATGAATTACCTCCCGCACCTCGGATAATGAATACTGGCGCCCACGGACCACGGGGCAATCAACCAGCGCAGCGTTGGTCTCCTCGTACTTGAAGGGCACGCGGAAGTAGCAGTCATTCTGTGAATCTGGTTCAGATTGGATCATGTTCGCATCCCTGTAGCCGCCGTCGAAAACAAATCCCTGCGACGGGGGCTTCTCTGTGTTCAGCTTGGCAGTGAATGCCTTCCAGACCTCCGACTTCGACCCCCTGGCTGAATCCTGCTCATAATATACTGGGAGGTTCGACAAGATCTCGGCGAACTTCGCTACATTGTGGGCCATGTACTTTTTCCCCCTGGTCTGCCTCAATTTGCGATCCCAGCTTTGCTTCGCCTTCTGCATGAATTCGCTTGGGAATTCTTCCAAAGAGGTACCGAGGTGCGCGGACGTCGCCATGGCTTGTCGAAGAGCGGTGCCCACTTGGTCCCAGCGCCAGACCAGCTCCTTTTCCCGGGTGAGCGAAAAGGGAGCGGGGCACAAACATAGCCGCGAGGCTATGCTTGAATTCGCATGCTAAAAACGTTGTTTTCCCATGGGGAACTTCGCAGGAAGGAGAACAAACTAAACTTCGCGACCACCACTCCCCCGCCCCCCTTTTCTCGTCGCCGACTTCTGGAACGTCTTCGGAAAGCAAATGCAAGATGCCCTCTGCCATGTTCAGACTCTGCCGCATGTCGACAGTCGAATCTTTCCTGTTCTCCCACCATCCCTTCGGAGAGATAGAGTGGCCACAAAAGTGCAACTCACCATCGTGGCTGCGATGCATCTCGCCGTATCTCAACAAAACAAAGAAGAGCTTGTCGGTAAGAGTTATCTTGCCAAACGTCATGGTACCGTCCACCAGCTCTTTGATTATGCCAAGAGCTGCCATCATATCTTCACGAGAGACACGCTGGGCCACCGTGGTCGGCGGGCCGTCGCTTGCATTCGCTTCCCAACTCGCATCGGTTGGCAGCAGCGAAGCTACATCCTAGAATTGCTTTTGCGCTCGAAAAACTAGTTGCGGGCCCTCCACGACGGAGCGGGAGAGCGGGACAGCGGGGGAGCGGCGGAGCGGGAGCGCGGGGGAGCGGGAGGGCGGGAGAGCGGGACAGCGGGAGAGCGGGGGGGCGGGGAGCGGGGGAGCGGGAGAGCGGGAGAGCGGGAGGGCGGGAGAGCGGGAGAGCGGGAGAGCGGGAGAGCGGGAGAGCGGGAGAGCGGGATAGCGGGAGAGCGGGAGGGCGGGAGAGCGGGAGTGGGAGAGCGGGGGCGGGAGGGCGGGAGAGCGGGAGAGCGGGGAGAGAGAGGGTTTGGATCAGAGTGCTGACTGCAATAGCCGGAGTCCGCCCCCCCCCTCCCGCTCTCCCGCTTTCGCGCTCTCCCGCTCTCCCGCCTCCGCCCTCCCGCTCTCCCACTATCCCGCTCTCCCGCTCTCCCGCTCTCCCGCTCCCCGCTCTCCCGCCCTCCCGCTCTCCGCTCTCCCCTCCCTCCCCCGTCCCGCTCCTCCCGCTCTCCCCGCTCTCCCGCTCTCCACTCTCCCGCTCTCCCGCTCTCCCGCTCTCCCGCTCTCCCGCCCTCTCCCGCTCTCCGCTCTCCCGCTCTCCCCTCCCCCGCTCTCCCGCTCTCCCACTCTCCCGCTCCCGCTCGCTGCTCCCGCTCTCCCGCTTTCCCCGCTGTCCCGCCCTCCCGCTCTCCCGCTCTCCCGCTCTCCCGTTCTCCCGCTCTCACGCTCCCCCGATCTCCCGCCCTCCCGCTCTCCCGCTCTCCCGCCTTCCCGCCCGTCCGCTCTCCCGCTTTCCCGCTCTCCCGCTTTCCCGCCCTTCCTCTCCCTCCCCCCCGAGTGCTTCCGAGTGGAAGTCAAGGCCGCAGTCCCGAGTGCTTCCGAGTGGAAGTCAAGGCCGCAAAGAAGCTGAGGTATATCAAAGGGGATGGGTGCGATCATATATATATATATATATATATATATTTACATATATATATATATATGTGCATTGTCATATGTACATATTATTTTTTATCATACGATGCCATCTCATGTTATAGTTGCGCAGAATCGCACAACTACACATGTATACATATACATACATACGTATATACATACATATATACATACATATATACATACATCTATACATGTATATATATATATTATATATATATATATATGTAATATATATATATATATACATATATATGTATATATATATATATATATATATATAATATATATATATGGGCACGAGGCGGGGGGGCCGGGAGGCGGCCCCCGACAGCGCATGGCAGGACCAGGCCGCCAGGGACACCCCCAGAGGGGGCCCAGAGGGGGCTCAGAGGGGGCATGGTGGGACCGGGTCGCGAGGGACGCGCCCAGACGACCTAAGCCGGCCCCAAAACATTTGAAAAGGGCGTTCCAGAGGCCTCCGAGACGGCCCAGAGTCGCTGAAATATTGTTCTCACACGCCCAAGATGTCTTCCAGACGGCCCAAAAGGCTTTCAACACGGCTCAAGGAGTCTCCAAGAGCACTCCCCAAAGGGCTCCAAGAGGCAACAATCATTGACTGTCCTTATGTTTTTGATGTCTTTCCAGAGGCCCCAAATATCGCCTCAGCACAGCCTTAGAGGCCCCTACGTGAGCGCCGAGACGGCCCAAGAGGCCCCCCAGACGGCCCAACAGGCCTTCCAGGCAGCCGAGAACGCCTGCCTCAAGAGAGACCCCAGAGGGGCCCCAAGCGGCTCCCAAGAGGCCCCCAAGAGGCCTGCAACAGACCCCCAAGAGGCCCCCAAGAGGCCCCAATCCCAGGAAGCCCCAGGAGAGGACCCCCAAAGCCGCCCGGCGACAGTCCTGCCGATCCTCGACGCCGTTCCACTGCAGAGTGCCAGTTGCATCCCATGTCCCCGTCGCCCGCTTCTTTTGCGCGTCTTCGTCGTCGTCAGTGGTGGGGCCACCTGGAGGGCGTGATGAGCGTCTGGCGGTGATGTTTCAGCGATTCGGTGCCTTTTTGGGGCTGTCCTGGAAGTCTCTGCGGCGTCTTTGGGGCCCCTTGGGCAGTGTGGCGCCCTGGAGCGGGCGCCTGAAACCGTCTTGGGGCGAGCTCTGATCCTTCCGGGGCTGTTGTGGACAGAAACAACCCAAAACTAACGGGAATCCAATTAGC